CCACCCAACCGAATTGAACGGAAGTCCAAGAAACATAACAACGGCTCGAAGGAACAAGACATGATTCAAGTTACCCAATACACGAAACTTAACGAAACGAAGCAATATTTGAGTAAAATCCACATCACAATGGGTCATCGGTCATTTACTAGACCTCACATCTTCCAAGCAATTCAATATGCATTACAATCATGTGTCATAACCATTTCCAATACCCAAGTTACATCACATTTCACTTCATCATACTAATCACTATACTTCCAACATTATATTTCAATACATAGCTTGTAACATATCAAGGAATCACGAAGTACAATATTAACATTTAATTACGTTAATCAATCAATGAGATAACATATCATTTCACGAATTTAATTAAAGAACTCTACATAATTCCCAATTTGGGTTAAGAATAATAACATGGTAATTCTAATTTATTTTCACAATATCTATTGTGGGTAATTCCCATCTACTCGAATTTAGGATTCTAAATCACCTTACGGAATGAACAAGAGCAAGGATTCCGGACCACTCCACGGAATCCAACAACATTGGGTTCTGGACCACTCAACGGAACCAAAATATCAAGCGGTTTCTCATAATCTACCCAAACCTGTCATATGTAAAGTTAATGCCAATATTATGGAATTGGTGCACCGGTAATTCAGGCACTCAGATAAGCTGAGAGGCTCAGGTGAGGGACAATAAAATAAGCATGTGATACAATAATAAAACTAGCCATCAATCATAATTTATAAACCTTGAATATAAATCTTTCATAGGAAATCAATACCAAACTTTTGAAAACTCCGAGGGAGGCACCCATTCATCCAAAAGTTCATTTTAAACGACCATAACATCTCACACCCATATTCACATACACACAATGAAAGTAGAATTAGGCGACATTGTTCATCCAAAACCTACACTTTGCAACCATCTCAAACTAAACTCCATGAACTAAGGGGGATGCAATCCCGGACCATCACTCAATGGGATAGCGGAGTAAGAGGGATTCCGGACCATCACTCAACGGAACCCAAACCAAGATACGATTCCGGACCGTCACTCAACGGAATCGCGGAGTGGAGTAGGAAGGATTCCGGACCATCACTCAACGGAATCCAAACCAGGATACGATTTCGGACCATCACTCAACGAAATCGCGGAGTAGAATGTGTAACACCAATCGATAAAACAAGACATGGATCAAGTTACTCAAGGTACAAAGACTCAATGAAACGAGAATGAATAATGACACGAGGGTTGAAACATGTTTCGAAGCAACAAACCCCATAACAATGGATTAAAGGTCCACTACTAGCTCTCGCATTTCATCACATCAATCCAATCATACAATACAAACCATATTTCCAATCCACAGGTCAAATCATACTTACTGAAAATAGATCACTGGCCACAAATAAAATAACACTTCAATAGAATTTACATTTAATTAACATGGGTCTATGGTGTATGTATATATATAATTCACGTTTCAATATGCAATTCGAATCACTTTTCCACAATATTACCCATCCATAATCAAACCACATTTAATAAAAATAGATCGATGGCCAATTATAAAAGAACTCACATTTTAATAGCTTAGTTTGGTTAGTAATGTGTGCTACTTGTATTTATACTCTTGATTGTACTTTTGTGTTCCGATTAAGCTCTTCAAAGGAACAAAATTAATATTATCTAAAGAAGTACACTGATTATGGAATCTACCACTCAAATAATATCACTCAATTAGTAGTAAAGAAGACTAGAAAGGAAACTAGAAAAGAAAATAGGTGTGGCAAAAAAAAGTACTCTACTTCTCCACAAAATCTGCAGAAAACAGCACTATTAGACCAAGTTTAGGCTCCCTTTGGGACATTCCAAACTAAACCAAATCATGTGATATTATATGGGTTTTGAAGCTTGTGTTCTGTACTTTAAAAGCATACAAAGTTTGTAGAAAACGGAGCTCTAAATTGGAAGTTATGCCAAAAGGAAAAACGGAGTCTTGAAACTGGAAACCCAATTTTCTGCTGCTGTTTGGCAGCCCGCGACCCAAACTTAAAGAAGGTTTTGATCAACCAAAACTCAACGAAATTGAGTGAAAACAATTGGATTACGATCATGAGCATATGTACTTTCAACACACTAAAAATTTTCTCTAAAGGAGCATATAAAGGCCTAGAAATTAAGAGCCAAAGAAGGCTACTTGAAACTTGAGTTTTCTTTGCAAAGAAGTCAATTTTCTGCAACTTACGTAACAACCCACTTCCAATTCATATAACACATCCCAAAATACTTCCCGGTAGTCCAGAAGTCATGTATACAACATCCAAACCTAACATGACTCAAAATTAACAAGAAATTGACCTTTGAACCAAACCCTTGATCAAGAAATTTGATCTACACACCCAACAATTGAATATTTGGAAACCAAGCTAGACATAGGTTCACATGGTCACTAGAAGGTATTTAAAACCTTGACAACACTCGTGAACGATCCCACGCACCGCCACACGCAGTGGAAGCCAAGATGGAGGGTTTACAAACCCCGAATTTCAACATTAACTAGAGGAGCTCAAATTTACGTGGTAGCTAGAGCTCAACAAGGAAAACACTTTTCACAACTAGGCCGGCGATAAATTCTAACCGGAAACAGTCCAATTTCACCAGAGAAAACCGGATTTCTAGGTGTTCTAAACACCCAACTCTAAAATGAATACGAAAGCACAAACTAAGCATACCCACTTGAAGATTATGAAGAATAGATGAAGTTTCATACCTCACTCGAAGGAAATCGTTGCCGGAATCGCTGGAAGATGATAAATCCGCCGGCAAGGTCGTGGACTTTGCGACCTCGAACTGCACGGATGGAAAAGAAATGGGAAAATATAAAATCACAGAGATGTAGAGCTCGTTAAGAGCTTTCCAGGGACACCAAGATCATCCAAAACGGAGCTCGGATGAAAAAGATACAAGCGGTTCAAGTTTGGTGGGTTTATGGGTCAAATTTCCCCTAAAACGGTTTAGTGCCGTTTTTTCTCCTCCATTTTCTGAAATCCCCCCAATTTATAGCATTTTGGTAATATAACCAAAATGCCACCAACTTCAAACGACTCTAACTTCTCCGTTCGGACTCGGAAATAAGATCTGTTTGCGCCTACGCGCTCAGGGAATCGAACTCTACCTAACCAATTCAAGAGTTGACCGAAAAGGTCGAGAAAATTAGAAATGACTAAAGTACCCCTCACTTCGTTTTCTTAAATTTGGAGAAATAAAGAACTAGTTCCAATCAAATCTTCGAAATACGTCAAGAATAAAATAAAATAATAATTTTGGGGATGGGATATCACAAATGGGGTCATTTATGTGTCACATCAGCACTTAACAGAATTTTTAACAGAATTGTGACGAAATGACCACATTGATTTGCAACACCTATTTTCAGGGACTACATTGATTGATTTTCAATTTTATGGACCATCTTGACAGTAAGAGTCAATTTTAGAGACCATTTGTGATAAGAGCAACTCCAGCGTTGGAGCCCTCCCCCTGGCAATACACTATTCAATCCACCTAATGAACAGTAAGTAGCCCTGGCAATAGAATTTGCATCTCCACCATTACACTTCAATAGCCCTAGCAATAGACAATAAAATATTAGTATTTTGTTTATTTATAAAATAATACAAAATAATTTTAATTGTAATATCGGATAAGATTTTTAATCGTTCTCATTGCGCCACGTGTCATTATCCGAAATATTATGCATTAATTTTAATGAAAATAAGTAACAAATAAATAATTTTTTTTACAATGAAAGTAGTTGAGAAAATATGAAATTGTTGTGTAAGGTAGATGATAATGACAAGGTATTTATAGAAAAGTAAAAACAATTTTTTTTACAATTTTTTTTCAGATTTTTCAGATATTTTTTTGAATTTTTTACAATTTTTTTTAAATTTTTATTCAATTAATTAATCTCTGCCGTTGGATATAAAAAAATTTGAATTCCAACACTCTAGATTGTGCCACGTGTCACAATGGTAACTTTTCAGATTTTTAAAACTATTTTTTCATTTATTTTTTAATTTATAAAGCATTTTAATATCCACCGTTGATCTCAGATCGAACGGTGGATATTAAATCTGACTTTTTTTTTTTTTACCGTTGAGATCTAACGGTCCACATTAAGTGACCGTTAAGATCTAACGCACCGTGGGAAGCCACGTGGCTTCCCAACGGTAACTGACACTTTTTGTTTTTTTAATTTTTTTGTGCCAGCGACGCGCCCCCACGCGCGGGTGGGGTGCACGCGCCTGACACAAAAAAATTTAAATAATGCGCTGACGCCACCCTGGCATCAGTCTTGCGTCACCCCCACCTCGGGCTCAAGGCCTGGCAATCCCTCACGGGCCCGTGACTCGGGCCTCCCCCTTCCGTCCGGCTCCCCCACGCTGGAGCGACGCCACCGGCCCTCGGGCCATTGTTTTGGACCCCTTCCCCAGAGCAAAACCCCACGCTAGGGATGCTCTAAAAATCCTTAAATCAATAGCATAGTAGAAATTTGAATTTTGAGCCTCCATTTAAAAAAAAAGAAGGGTTTGTGATCAATCCAGAGACTTCCTACCTATGGTCGGAATTGTCCATTTTATATAACACTTGACAAAAATTATTTCTACTAAAAGTCAATAAATACCAATGTCGTTTAATCATTCTACTATTAGTAAATAGATAAGTAAGTTATAATCCATGTATCAATTTTTTTTCATATCTTTTTATATAGTTTAATAAACAAACGATCTTAGATTTTCTAGAATTTGTACAATTATATCTATCCGTCGGATGATGGTAATAATAAATACTCATCTTTCTTCTTGTTTTGTTTCATTGGATCGCATCGATTCTAGTCAGACACAAGGTTGAGGGTTTTTCTTGCCAATCCCACACCGAACCTTGCAAAATTTCAAATACTCAAAGGTCCCAACTTGTGTTGCATCCGAAACAAACAGAATGGCGGTTTCACTCTCAAGAACTCCTCAACCCTGTGTTGGACAAATCTCAATCATGAACAAGTTTCACACCATCTCATCCAAAACCCTCCGCAGTTTCAATCCCCTTTTCAAGCCCTGCACTCAAACCCTCTTCCTCAGCTCCCAAAAACCTAAAGCCAATCTCCAATATCCTCCTCGCAACACAATGCGATGCCTTTTCACCGGCATCGTCGAGGAAATGGGCCGAGTCAAGCAACTGGGCACCGCCCAAAACGGCGGTTTCGACATGAAAATCGGCGCCAAAACCGTTCTGGAAGGCGTTCACCTCGGGGATAGCATTGCCGTCAACGGAACGTGCCTGACCGTGACTGAATTCGATACCCAGTTGTCGGATTTCACAGTCGGGCTGTCGCCCGAGACGCTTAGGAAGACGTCTCTGATCGAGCTCGAATCGGGATCACTTGTGAATTTGGAGCGGGCGGTGCAGCCCACGAGCCGAATGGGCGGGCACTTTGTGCAGGGTCATGTGGATGGCACAGGGGAGATAGTGTCCATGGAGCCCGAGGGCGATTCGCTGTGGATCAAGGTAAAGGCATCGAAGGAGGTGTTGAAATATGTGGTGCCGAAAGGGTTTATAGCAGTAGATGGAACTAGTTTGACTGTGGTGGATGTGTTTGATAAAGAAGAGTGCTTTAATTTCATGTTGGTGGCTTACACTCAGCAGAATGTGGTGATTCCGTTGAAGAAGGTCGGGTCGAAGGTTAATTTGGAGGTTGATATACTCGGGAAGTATGTCGAAAGACTTCTCAGTAGTGGGTTTGTTGAGTCAATCAAATCTTCATGACTCATAAGGTACTACTTAGTTATAGTTTGTTTACTGCAATCCTGAATCCTGATTCGGTTTCGTGTATTATTACATTTTGTAATGCATACTTGTTCTTGTTTTCTTTCTCTTTCAATAAAAATTGAAAAGGTTATTTGCGTAAGAGATTCAGATTTTAAGTGGTTCGGATTGATTTTTAGTGGGAAGGAATATTGCAGTTGTAAGTTACGAAATGTGTAATATGTAGGATGATCTTTAGCGTAAACATGCCTACATTTATCACAACAGGCGAACAAGATTACCCTTGAGGTCAATGAAGATAATTCAAGTGTTGTACTGGTGTTTGAAAACAAAGTACTGGATAGTGCATCTTTAACAGATCAGAAGCCACCTGATACAATTTTGAAATGTGGAGTTCGCTATGTTGAAATCTTTTTTGCTGAAGCTCTGATGGAAATTTGTTCTTTCTTTCCTGTGCTTGGCTCCTAGTCTGTATAAAGCTACTAAGTCTCTCTATTTCTGCCAATTTGGTCAATGGTTTCATGTGCCACATCTACGACAATTATATGACCTTGGGACAAAAAAAAAAAAGGGAATGCAGCAATTAATTAGCTTATAAAACAAAATCAATCAATTAGCTTCTTGTGCTTAACTCCTTTACTGGTATCAAGTGTTTTACTGTTTCCGCTCATTTTCTTTTCAAGGTCATCGCCTGTGTGGGTTGTACACACTTGTGATTGGGATAGTAACTGAACCAACTGGTGGCTGTAGGAATGCTGTTTGGAATTTTGGCCATTTTTAGCTTCTGTTTTTTTTATTTTATTGGAAGCGTATTTAGGTAGTGTTGCACTTTGGAAAGTTGTTATATCTCGATTTTAAAACTTTGTTGTGTCATTGTTAGAGATGTATTCTATTGATTGCTCTATATACTAATTGGATTATTATAGTTTTATTAAGTAATAAAAGTTTTGTTGTATCATTTTTAGGGCTTTATTGTACACAGACACATGCATGCCCTCACACGCACATGGATTTTCATTCCTTCGTGTTTTCAGCACCAAGGGCAAAACTGTAAGCCTCTGATGGTCCTCAAGTGTCTTTGGGCATCAAATTGCACAGTAGAAAAAACATTCTGCGGTAGTCTGATGAAGATCTCGTTCTTGTATAGCAGTAGGGCATGCGATATAAATTATGTTAGTCGTGTAGCTTCTGTTCTTGTATAGCAGGCTGGTTTGGAATTTTTCTGTGTCAAGCTTTTACTCAAAACCAGTTTTTGATATATCATATACCCTCAAAACTCTCATCTTCCTTTTTTAGAAACTTAAGTATATTGTTCTCTAGTTTTCTCTTTACAGTGATTGGCGGGAGAAATTATTACGTGGTGTTCTGGACTACGGAAAATAGGTGGTTCCACCCAATTAAAATATTGCGTGTGTTTGTTTGAAGCTCAATGGGAGAAAGGTCACCTCTCTGTTGAACGTCAAGGGTTGAGGTAAGTTTTTTTCGTCCTCGTGTGTTGATTTCTTCCATCAGCTGATCTATACTTTAAGTAGTTTTTAGACACAATCTTAAACACCAGACACGCCTTAGGCTAAAGGTTTGGCTCCATGAGCCAGTAAATCCAAAAGGAATGAATATTGTCTAGTATTTCTTCTACTAGTGGTTCTATTCTCCTTCCTCCCTGAGTACTGAGGTCTGTATGTCGTTCTGCTTTTCCTGCAAATTGAGCATCCAACTCTCGTTCGTAGTGCTTCATGACCAATTTTAGGCCTTTTTTTTTTTTCAAATGAAAAGCTTTCTGCTTTTAACATCCTCCAATTCTCTCCTGTCTTGGTCATAATTTTAGGAACAGCAATGGTATTTGTTCCCAGGGGAGTGACTGGCTCTTTATTGTGTTGTAATGGGCCGACCTGCTGTGTAAATTTTTGCAAAAACTACATTTGTGAACAAAGTCTTATGGGACTTGATTTCGAGAGAGTCTGAATAGCAGATCTCGATGTGAAATAGCTCGAACCAAGAATCACCATCGTTAGTGATGGCCTGATGGGGGAACGTCGTCATCGCTAACCTTTCTCTTAGTAGAGAGCAGACGCAGCTTGCTCAACATCAAGTTGCCAAGCTGGAGGTCCTCAACATCAAGTTGCCAAGTTGGAGGTGGAGGGGGCTCAGCTTTCATTGGGATATCATTCTACTTCACTTAGTCCACTTGCACAATTTGCCAAACCAACCACTCCATTTCTCCCCATCTCAGCCGAAAGTGAGAAACAATGACAAGTTCATCATTCCAACCAAACACAGCCGGTTCTCCTCTTTGTGAGCGTGGACGGATGAGTAATGTGCCAAGATTCAACATTTCAATATAACATTTAAACAGAGAATGCGCGTGCCATATGAACATTTGGTACACTTGTACGGTATTTGGTTGACTTGGGCAAGTGAGTTTGACTCCAAATTTAGTGGATTTGGTGATCTGATCTCTCTCGTCTCCATGTCGGCAAGGCTTTAATTTCTTTTTGTTATCCATACACCGGGGACTTTAAATTTGATTATCTGCTCCATATTTGAATAAAGATAACAAATATATAATTTGTCAAACTTTTTGTTGTAAAAAAAATTATCAACATTCTTTTTTTTTTTTTTCCTTCAAAAAAAGAACCACCTGATGATTTCGTCACGAAAATCCACCATTCTAGGGGCCAAAAAGACTCGCACAGACATTAAAACCTTCTTTTAACCGCCATCGTGTGATTCACAAGTAAAAAATTATCAACATTATGCACTTAGGTGCAGCCATAACACCTTACAATCTATTCATGTTACAACACATATTTTATATACCTTAAACAATATTAAACTCGACTATACGTGCAATGGGGGTTATTATTATTATTATTTTTTTGGGTGTGCAAGAAACTTTGATAAAGTTGCTCTACAAAGAGTTCATACTTTTGTGATAGGTGCCAAACCGACGTTGCAGTCGGCCGTTTCACCACTATGACAATGAAGTGTGGTAATAAAAGTGATTGTTGGGGCTAAATTAGTAATTAGAGTCGCAACCTCCAAATTGTCAACCCACTCCGCCACCGCCCACTCTACACATCCCATTCCAAACCCAAAGATATAGGGCCTATAATTTACTAGTGAAACAAGTGACGCTTGCGTGGCACAATCTGGGCCGTACACGTGGCCTGGCACAGTTGAGTGCGACTAAAAAAGATCGGCCTATGAGGGCTAACTTCGTCTCGATAACATCAACATCGACGTGCCGCGAAAATACCCAAACATTGAATGACGCATTTACCAACTTGCCCCTCCATTATTCTTGCCTTTCTAGATCGACTTTCCCCCCTCTTACAAAACTAACCCTATCCTTTCTTTTCTTATGGGGTTTCCTTGATTCTTTTTCCCCTTTAAAGTTAATAAAATAATACACACAATATTACATCCTTGATTAACTCTTGTTTTTGTCTCTAATGTAGGATTATATTTTGGTATTTGTAAATGGATAAGAATAAAAATAAAAACATATTTATCATAATTAGTCGCAATATCTTATAATTAACATAAAATTAAGCGTTTAAGTCAATTAGGAGATAATCCTAATCTGCTCCCACAAGAAAGACACCTAACTTATTTGCATGTGCATATTCACTTTTGTCAACTCTCAACAGGTAAAAGGTCATGATCTTAATCCCTTAAGCTTGATTTTTCTTCATTGATTAAATTTTATATGAACAATTACATCTTACATCTGAATGTTAAAATGTTCGAACTGTGAAAACATTTACATCCAAGGCTGACAATATTCCAACGATAAGAACTTCCCTAACGAGTGGTCAGGTGCATGTGCAACTTGGGGTACAGTTGAGGTTGAAGATATACACAACCCAAGTGGTGCAGGTGGAGCCCCTTATTGCTTCTTCCTCGGACCTCAGCGACATGACATTACACATTGAAAATGTTACCCACGGGAGGGTATTTTAGACAATTGCAAACATCTGAAAAAGAAAAGTGAAGAGGGCAAAATAGGAATTCCAGGCCCAAGTTGGGACATAGTTGCCGCGTAAAGGCTCGAAGTTAACAACGACCAGCAGTAGCAGTTGTATATATGTGCCTGCCGTCAAAGCCCTTCCAACTGCCCACTCAACTTTCTCTCATTCATTTTCCCACCAGACAAACAGTCAGTCTCCCAACTGCCAGGCTCTCCATATCCAATCAACCTTCCAACTAGCTAGCTACCTTATACTCGTCTCTTCCAGTCATGAAGAAGCCAGGCTTTTTAGCGGCCTCAGTCGCCGCCGCTTCGGCCACTGCTCTCTCCGTCTCCGCCACTCCTTCTTCTTCTTCAAGCTTTGTGTCTGATTCAACCATGCGATTTTCTCACCAGGTAATTAAATAATCTTCATTTGAATTCATGGGTTCTTTTTGTCTTTTCGTTTTCCATGCTTTGTAGTTAGTATTCAGCTTTAGATGCTCTGCTTCTATTTGCCCTGTTCTGTTTGGCTGCTGAGAAAAAAAATGGAAAACGACTGAAATCTGGGATATTTTATTACTTACTAGTTAACCTTAACCAAACGAGTATTAGAGAAACAAAATATACGCTGGTTGTTAATTTCTAATTTTATTCATGAATTTCTGCTATATTTTGTCTACTAGAAATGTTAGGGACTCTCGAAATGAAATTCTTCGTACATATTAACGTTAAACTGTGACATTGCAAAAAGTTCATGAAGTACTACACTTTTCAGAGTTTCCTTAGTATTTCTGTTGACTTCAGCTTGATATTCTTATTTCAATAAAAAAATTTGGACACATTTATCGACATAGTTCCGAAGAGAGAGGACTCTATCATTGTTTGTCGACTCCACTTGTCTTAGGAACTGTTTGTTAATTTTGTGTGTTTAAATAATATTATTGGACGCGTTTATACAATACTGTAATTAAGCAGGGATAAGTCTATTGATTTTGTAGGAGACTGGGTGCAAGAGAAATCAAGAAAAATCGTCGGCTTCGACCGAGAAATTTGCGCCCAAGTTCGATGGGTTGAGATTTATTGAAACGCTGGTTACTGCTCATAGATAAGATTAGGCGGCCTCTATCTTCTATCTGTTGTAATCTAAATATTTTTGTCTCCTTTGATGATTTGATCCAATCTTCCATCTCGAGGAAACAACTTCAAGATTGGATTTCGATCCTTTTGGTAATGGGATGAAGTTAGTACTAAGAACTACTACTTACATGGTACATGAAAAATATTACGTTGCGTGTCAATAATACATTAGATGAGAATAAATTTATTTTGTATTATTGACATAAAACGCTAAGATGATAATGGGTTTATGCCAAATAAATCCTCTTAGAATTAAAAGAATTGTAACTGTACATTTTCGGGCTGCCCTTATATATTTACGTGGAAATTAATATAATATTTTTGACTTTGTTTTTCTAGTCTTAGTAATTCTAAAGTCATTTTTCCATTTGATTTTTTAATACAAAGATATCCTTACACTAAAAGTGAGAGAAATAAAATTGTTATCCAACTCGTTATTTACATAATCAAATTTAAAAATTTTGATTTATTAAAAATTAAAAAAAAAAAAAAACTTTTAAATTGAAGTACTAAGGGCTGGTTTGGTATTACTGTGATTTGAAAAAAAAACTGCTTCTGCTGTGATGTGAGGATAAGCAGCTATGAAATAAAGCAACAGAGTGTTTGGTAAACTTTTTTGTAAAAATGCTTTTGAAAAAAAAAAAGCAGTATTATAGTGTTTGGTAAACTTTTATGTAAAACAGTCGTGAAAAAAAACCGGTTTTCAAAGCTGAGTTTTGCAGCTTCTTGTTTTTGGCTTTTTTTTACCCAAAACTGTGAAAAAAAACTGAAGCTGAATGTTTATCAAACACAAAAACAACTCCCAGTTTTTTTTGATACCAACTTTTTTCAGAATCACCTCAATACCAAACCATGCCTAAGTGTCACTAATTAACTAATGATTTGATGTCAAAGGATATGTGGTGTAGCTATTTTGATTTTTAATGAAATGATGTGGCAGAAGATAGTATATGTATTTATTGGTTGTATTCTTCCCAATTCATCCCATTCTATTTGGATCAAGACACAAACTGTGGGCAAAACATTATCTATATTTTTATCCCCATTGGACATGACTCATATGTCACCATTTCCGGTGCAAGAAATTGCGTCGATCACCATCATTGTGCCCGAAGTATTTATCCATTCGTCCGAAAATTTCAAGTCATTGTTCAACAGCAACTTAAAAAAATAATATGCAACTTTTTCATCTTTAGTTTTGTACTGTTGAGTGAGTGATCATATGTTCTTTTACATATATACACACAGTAAAATTAGAGAATTTTGAGAAAATTGATCGGACATGTTTATAGTGAGTTTACAATTACTCAATATGTTTTTTTTAATTTTTTTTATTAAGTTCATTGTTGTACGGTGACACTCAAACAGAAAAATTTGACCGGCTAGTTGTTGGAAAATTTGGTCACCCGGTCTAAAAGAAAAGTTGGTAGGTCAAAAAACGTGGTAGGATTAATTAGTGGCGATCATGTAAATTACTTTGAATTACAGTATGTATAGGATTGTTTTAGTTGACTTTTGCATTAGTACCTAAACTAAAAACATAGTATTTTAGCTAAAAAAAATTCTTAACCCATAGTCCAAAGCAGCTATCAGACTGAAACTGAGGAAGTTGTTTTCATATGATACATATTGGCAAGAATAACACTCTCTTAATATATGGACCACGTATATGCAAAATATGGATGAGATGCATCGTACCAACAAGTGGTGTCATCAATTTCATGTGTTTTAGTATGAATGAACGGTATAAAATTATATTTTAAAGATATATAATTAATAAATAGGATAATATTTGTGTTTCTTTAGACTAACTCCAATGGTGGGCTAAAAGCCAAACTACTCCCCAAAATTCCCCCCCCCCCCCAAACCCACTCCAACCCAAGGGGAAATTTTGGGCTAAATGCTAAATGCTAAACCAATGCCAAATTCCCCCCAAAATTTAGCCCAGAAATCAAAGTGGACTTCACCTAATATTTATCGGAATTTAATTTTTTTTAGATTAAAATGTTCATAAAATTAATTTACGATAGTCTACATATTTATTTTAAAAAAATTAATTTAACAAAAAAAATAGCCTAAATTCATTCTTTAATAATCCCTGGCTAAAATTTTAGGCTAGAATGGTTGGAGCAGAAAAGCTATTTTTAGGCTAAAAGCTAAATTTTTCGGGCTAAAAAATTTGGTTTTTAGCCCAATCATTGGAGATGGTCTTATAGGGAACTTACTTGTTTCCTATATATGATTAACATCTCTTCATCGTACAAACATGATAGAATCCATATGGTTATATGTAAAAAAAATATCCATTCATTACGAAGGTTCTCTACCTTAGTAAGGATAGGTGGTGTAGGTTATCGTGCGTCCAATTTTCGTCAAGTACTATTTGTGTTTAATTTTAAATAAAAAAATTCAAATGATTTATGACCTTTCGATGCACGATGAACGGTTAAGATGTGAGAATCTCTAGGATCCCCACAAAGAGGATCCGGAGAGGATCCTTATCCAATCAGAATCGTTCACTGTCTTTATTATCATGTAAAGATCATATCTGCAAAAACTCATTCAATTTAAAGATCCTTTAACCATTAATATACATCAAACAGATAATGATCAATCATAAAAAAAGCTATTTGATACCAAAATCGCCAATTTCACAAAACAGGAGCTAATTGCAAAGTGCACCATTAAAATTTGGTGTCACTTTCACAAAAAAGAACACAACGTTATTCAACTAGTTGTATATTGATTCATTGAATGATCAATTTAGCGTGAGGTCATGCCACATTTAGCCAACCTTCTCTTTATGTGAACCCAACAATCCTACCTTTTGGAGATCTGCTTTGCTTATTGCAACTATTAGGTATTTGACTAGGCATGTACCGTCCTATCCGCTTTGCATTATGATTTTAGTATTAAAAAAATATTTTTGCACAACTTTTTTTCTTTTTTAATTAGAAAAATTAATAAACAAGCTTTATCAAGCATGTTCTTATTTTAAGAAAATGCAAAGAATTTCTCTTACTTACGCACAGTTAATTCAACCATCTTATTGAGTCCTTAACACATACAAGAAAAAGAGAAAATAAAAAGCCGTAAGTTTCTATACCGGCGATTTATAGTCTCATTTTAAACTTTTGTTTTAACAAGATCATCCTGGTAAAAAATATGGATAAATGCAAATTAGATATTTAAATAAAAACTCTTGAGCAACTAGTGTGTGATCAAGATGATGTGCTAAAACGGGCATATTGCATTATTTGAAAGTAATTTCATTGACTAATTAATACTGAAGGAAAGTATATTATTGGTTACTACCAAGCACCAAAATCTGTCACCTTTTGGAAGCAAAGGTAAGCACTTTAGGTATTGGAGCTAAAGTTTGACATGTAAAGTATATTATTGGTTACTACCAAGCACCAAAATCTGTCACCTTTTGGAAGCAAAGTTATAAAGCACTTTAGGTATTGGAGCTAAAGTTTGACAAGTAGATTAGGGCTGGAAAAAAATCCCGAATTACTCGAACCCGACCAAAAATTCCTGAATTCAAAATCAAAAAATCCCGAAATGTTCAGTAACCCATACCAAAAAAATCCTATGGATTTGGTACAGGAATTGGGACTTGGTTGGCAGATGTTCGCTAATCCCGAACCGATTTGTATGCATATTATACATTTATTTATCATATATTATATATATTAGACTAAATTGTAACCGTTGGGTAAAAGACCTCACTCTCTCTAATCTTTCAAATGTGTCAGCACTCCCTCTCTCACTCAGACGACCTGCACTTTTTCTCTAAACTCTCAAATATCTCTGTACTCTCTCCTCTCCTCCTCAGCTATGTCAACAAACTCAACACTCTCCTTAATCTCTCGAATTGTCTCTACACTCTACTCTCCTCCTCCTTCCCCCTTTGTGAGCAGACTCAACACATCCGACTGACCACCATTCCTCTATGACTCCTCCATATTCCAGATCCAAGCTTCCATGGTTCCACCTCGAACGACCTCCAAACTGAAGCTTCTCTAATATGATAATGAAGGTGCCAAGATTCATGAAATTACTGGACCTTGATTTTGATTTGGATTCCAAAATTGAGAAGGTTTTGAACTTTCAATTTGGAGACTTAGAATTAATGAAAATCCCCTTATTTCAATTATTGCTTGATATCTTTGTATTTGGCTTTCTGCTTTTGAATTTTGATCAAGGGCTTCTTCTATCTTTGTATTGTTGACTCTTTGAATTTTTAGGGTGTGTCTGCAAATTTGGGATTTGGGATTTATGTTGATTCGATCTTCTAAATTAGGACTGCAGTCATTCCCTATCCCGAATGGAAAACTGAAACAATTTCGGGAATCCCGAAATTCGGGAACACCCAAATTTTAGTACGGTTTTGGGTTTAAGAATTGCATCCCGAAAGGAGTTGGTTTGGGATTTGGGCTTTGGGTTTTGGTTCGGGATCCCAACCCGAACCAGTCCTAAAGTAGATGACCAATTTTAGATTTTCGTTGAGGAATTTAGCCCTCACAAAAATATTCCAAGCGCAACGATGTGCAGTCACCCAAAAAGGATGATGAAAAATTGCACTCGATTTCTTTCACAAATATTTAATTCATTTTTCTTTTGGTAAGATATTATCTCAAATTCTTGGCATACTTTTATTGACTGCAGACTACACCCAGTTTATGGGGATTTTGTTTGACTGGATTAGAACTGGGTTCGACTATTTAATACTAGTCTCTATTTTTTTTTTTTAACAAACGGTATTATCTATAGGCTTAGCTTTACAATGGGCTAGCAATAATGTAGCTTAAATTCGCCTTTAGTGAGGATTGAACTTAAGACCGCTCACTTACAAGTGAAGAAGAATACTACTAGACCGTAATACTATATGACATTTAACAATAGCCTTTGAGTCTTGGACTAAGATTAGGTTCATTAATTGTAAGACATATACTCAACCCAGTTCATAGATCACAGATATGCTATTGAATCACGAAATATAAGAACAATGTTGCAATATAAGGATAAGGAGAAAACTTACCTGCAGATCTCGTTGCAGAAGACGAAGCCATTGCAGCTTTGAAACTATGAGCCTTCTCCTCTTTGACAAAACACAATTGCTCTCCAAAGAATAGGTCTTTGGAACGAAATAAGCAGAGAGATTGTAAAAGTAGTGCCTAATGTTCATACATATACACATCGAATGTCTTCCTAACATATTCTCCTATTATAATCAGTATAGGAGACAATCTTCCAAAAGATATCAACACAAGCAAGAACTTCAAACCAAATACAAGGTTAAGTCCGAATCCTGAGACAATTCTCAATACTAGTAATCCCAAATAGAATAGGATTACTGCAAGCTTATCAACAAGACTTTTCCATACACTATAACCGGTTCAATATGTCAAACTCATACTGACACTTTAACATTCTCCCACTTGAGTATGTGAAATGACAACTAGTCCTTCAAAATATGGAAGTGATCACTAAGTCTAAGTTAATCAAAACTTGAACTCACATTCAACTATACCTATGCATCTCAAAGCACGGAGCTCTAGAATCTCATCTGCACATCACATAACTAATTCAAGAACCACAACATACTCAATTTGCATTATGCAATCATGTGAACAAAAATTTCCAGTAATGTCCAAAAGCATTACTTCCACTCATTTAAGCCTATCTCAACACAACAAAGTTAAGACATTAACTATTAGTAATGAATATCATCAACCAACCAATCTCACAAAAGAACAGAAAAATGATAGCTTGAAAGATGCTTCAACAAAATCACAAATCGATTTTCTAGCAAATAAACTGTCATTCATAAAATCATGTCTTCTTGAAAAAATTAATCACCTCAAAAGGAAAAATTGAATAACTAAAGAAAACCAAAATAAATTAAGCTGGAGAACTGACTAACAAGATTAAACCAGCTTATTAAAAACCATAAAATAACTTATCTTCTCAGAATTGCTACTTCTTCAAAAACCATAACATAAGAAGCATCGTCAGCAATCCCAAATCTTCAATAGCTTAATCACTCCCACTGATCAAAAGATTCCAAAACTCCGATCTTGCCAATATGGCCTTTGAATACATTATTTGGAAGTGCCTTGGTTAGGGGATCTATTATCATTAGATTAGTTGACAGAAAAAGTATCTCAATTTCCCATTTCTTTGCAACTTCTTTGACTTTAAGGAACTTCACATCCATCAATCTAGAAACTAAGGTTCTTTTGTTATTCTTCGAGAAGAACACAGCTGCACTATTATCACAAAACATCTTGACAGGTCTCTTCACATATTCTGCAATCTTCATCTCAGTGACATAATTCTTGAGCCAAACAGCTTGTTTCATACCTTCAAAACATGCTACAAACTCTACTTCACAATTGTTTGTTTAGCACTTTTCCATGAAATAGCCTCTTTAAACAACATGAAAATATAGCCACTAGTTGACTTCCTCTCATCTACATCTCTTGCACGATCCGAGTCTGTATAGCCTGTTATTTCCAGTGTATCATTTTTGTCATATACCAACATGTCTCTTTATTCTCTGTAAATACCTCAAAACCTTATTTGCATAAACCCAATAAGCCTCACCTGGATTTGCTTGAAATCTTCCCAACAAACCAAAAATAAAGGCTAAGTCAAGTCTGGTACATACATTGGCTTGCATAAGACTACTAACCAATGAAGCATAGGGCTTCATCTTCATTAGTTTAATCTCATGTTCACTTTTAGGACATTGATCTTTACAGAACTTATCACCCTTGTTGCAATTTTCCATATTAAACTTGTTAAGTACCCGATCAATGTAGCCTCTTTGTGACAAACCAAGAAGCTTTCTATTTCTATTTCTCACAATTTCAATTCCTAAAACATAATGAACTTCTCAAGATCTTTCATTTTGAAATTAGCACTAAGAACAACTTTTGTTTCCTTTATAACTGAATATCATAGCTTGCAAGAAGAATGTCATCAACATATAGGATCAGAAAAATGAATTTCGATCCTTTGAACTTGAGGTAGATGCAATCATCCATTTTATTCTCAAGAAAGCAATATGCAGTCATTACTTGATCAAATTTAAGAAACCATTGTCTTGAAACTTGTTGAAGTCCATAGATTGACTTACTAAGCTTACATACCATACTTTCCTTCTCTCTTTCAACAAATCCAGTAGGTTGAACCATATAGATATCTGCCTGCAATTCTCCATTCAAAATTGTAGTCCAAACATCCATTTGATGCAATTCTGAATTATAATGTGTTGTTAAAGCCATGATAACTCTCATGGAATCCTTGGAAGAAACTGGGAAAAATGTATCATTGAAGTCAATGCCTTCCTTTTAAGTGAAACCCTTGGCAATTAATCTTGCTTTGTATCTTTCAATTCTACCTGTAGCATCCATTTTGGTCTTATAAACCCACTTATAGCCTATAGGTTTAACTATTGAAGATGGAGTCACCAAAGCCCAAAGCTTGTTCCTGTACATTGAATTTAGCTTTTCTTCCATTGCTTTCTGCCAAAGAACCATTTGTGCACCTTGCATTGCTTGAGTATAAGTTATAAGGTCATCTATGTCTCCTAAATCAAACTGTCTTTTGTAACTACACATAATCTTGTGAAATAGCCAGCTTCCTAGTTCTACCAGATTTTCTCAATATTGGCTGAAGTAGTGTATGGTCTGGTTCTTAAACTTGTTGTTCTTCATCTTGTATAGGTTGAACATTATTTTGAATAACTGTTTCAGAAGCTGCCAATGAAGTCACAATCTCATCCATCTCATGACCTGAGTCATTATTGGATACTGGTAGATTAGGTAATATTGGAACACATCCATAATCTAGATGTGATGAACTGTCATGTTGGTGATCTATTTCTTCAAAATTGAAACTGTCTTGGACCAAATCAAAAACATCATCTTGCTCAAGGAATGCTGCAGTATGGGTTTCTTAAATTCAAGTGTGTGCCTGAGGACCATAAAATTTGAAGCCCTTTGACTTATCAGAATACCTAATGAAGAAACAAGAATTGGTATTCGAATCGTGTTTTCTTTCATTAGGGTTGTAGAATCTGGCTTTAGCCTTACATCCCCAAACATGGAAATGATTGAAACTAGGTCTTCTTCTAATCCACAATCAAAAGGTGTTTTAGGCACAACTTTGGAAGGTACTCTGTTCAAAATGTAATTGGCAGTCTTCAGTGATTCACCCCAAAAGAAACCAGGTAATTTTGATCTCGAAATCATGCTTCTTACCATCCTTATCAAGGTCCTGTTCCTTCTTTCTGCCACCCATTCTGTTGTGGTGTACCTGGTGTTGTGTATTGGGCCATAATGCCTTGTTGCTCAAGAAAACTAGCAAAAGGCCTCTTTTGTTGACCTACTTTTGTGTACCTGCCAAAGTATTCTCCTCCTTTATCTGATCTAACAATCTTAATTACCAAGTTTAATTGTTTTTCAACTTCACACTTAAAAACCTTAAAACACTTAAGAACTGCAGATTTTTCACTTATAAGGAAAACATGGCTATGTCTAGAGGTCATCAATGAAACTCACAAAATATGAATTACCACAAATGGTTTTAATTGGAAAAGGTCCACAAACATCAATGTGTATGATTTCTAGTAGTTTTGACTTCTTTTAGCATCTAACTTTCTAACATTAGTATTTTTCCTTTTAAATAGTCAACACACTCGGATGCATTTTTGAAATCAACAATAGGAATCAAATTTAGCCTTGACAACTGACAAATCCTATCTTTTGAAACGTGTCCCAATCTTTTATGCCAAAGAATAAAAGAGTTTTCAAAACCATGCATTCTTTTGGTAGTAATGTTCAAAACATGCAGAAGATTTTTCTTTATTGTGTATTGTAACTTCCATAAGTTGTCATTCAAAAATGCTTTTCCTATTAATGAACCCCTTTTGAAAAACTTAATGCAGGTTTCATCACCAATGAAAACATACGTTTGACTATTTTTGATGCAGAAATCAAATTTCTTCTCATGGTGGGAAGATATAGAACATCATCCAATTGCATTATAAAACCAGTGTCTAATTTGAGTTTAACTACCCCAATAGCTTCAACATGCACTTTTGTTCCCTCCCCAACATAAACATTAAACCACCAAGAATTAGTTATATGGACTAATGAACCATGCAATGAATTAGTTATATGGACTAATGAACCAGTATCAAACCACCAAGAATTGACAGGTATTTTAATGAGATTCGACCTCCTCACAAATATAGACATCAGTTCTACCTTTAGTGCTTAACCATTCTTTGAAAATCTCACAATCATATATATAGTCACAATTGGTTTTACAGTGGTGACATCTAACTTTTTCAATGTTCTTATTTTTCACATTAAGGTTGTTAACACTTAGAGGAGAAAGAATTCTTAGCAGGCATCATAGATTTATCAACATGTTTAGATTTAGAAGATTTACCAGGATGGAAATTCTTCCCTTTAGCAGATTGCACAAAATTGACAGATTTAACTTCCTTGCCCTTCTTTTGTTTTTGTCAACTTTCCTCTTGCACGCATTGAGTTATAAGTTCATCCATTATCCAGCATTTGTCCTGATTGTTATAAGACATTTTTAGCTTACTATACTTCTGAGGTAAGGCTTGCAGGATCATGAAAACCAACTGCATTTCACCAATTTTGACATCCATGGAGTTGAGTTTTTCAGAAGCATCTGTCATTCTCATTATGTGATCCCTGATTGAGATTGCTCCTTTAAACTTGTAAGTAGTGAGAAGTGTCATATATTGTGCAATCTCATATTTCTGTGACACCTTGAATTTTCCCTTAATTGCCTTGAGATAATCAGATGCTAAGTCACACTTCTTGATGCCTTCACGCACAGTCTTAATCATTCCACTCTCCAAGATTGAGAGTGCAACCTTGTTTGCTCTTGTCCACCTTTCAAATTCAACCTTTTCAGCCTTTGTGCTTTTATGATTGAGAGGTGTAGGTTGTGGAGTGTCTAGTGCCATATCATACTCATTAAGTGTCAAAAGTAACTCTATTTCTCTTCTCCGCTTCTTATAGTTACTTCTGCCAGTGAGTATTGGCACAGAAGCCAAATTAATGGATTTGAGTGAAACTGTAGAATTCAATAATGAAATCAGCAAATTGAATCTTGAAAGATCGATTTTCTTCCATTTCACTCCAAACTTACACCATGAATCAATTGAACCATATATATGACAATCTCTTTAAGAGAATGCACATATAGAATTAACAACTCACGATTTAGTTTTCCAGAATACATGTTCAAGAGGATCGCCAAACAATCACATCACATGCAACAAATTCTGTTTAGTTTTTAGCATAATATTTTTCAATAGCAATGGAAGCAATTTTATTAGTTAATAATTGAAAACTTTCAAATTGATTCAGCAATATTCATTTGTAATTATGATTTTTCATAACTCACATTTGTCTAAATCTTGCTATCTAACTCAAATCTTTAATATAACAAACACAATATTTGAAAATATAAATTTTCTAAAAGCATACCTCTCTAAATCAAGCACATAGATTTTTAGTATTTGATGAGAATCAATGGAAAAGAAGAAGATTTGTAGCATTTCGCAAAGAATGAGAAGCATGAAAACTTCCCACCCAACACAACCGAAAAGCAAAGAAAGAAGAAAGCAAAGTGCATAGGCTGTTAACAGTAAAAAAATTTAAAATTTTATAATAAGCAATGACTCTTTTAGCAAAACGGTGTTGTTTATATCTTTAATTAAATGATTTAATTAAAAATTTTATTTTTTATTCTTTTCTTGGGTTTTGACAGTTCATGATGAACACCCATGTATTACTCATCAATTCTTGAACAAATTTTTCGAATTCAATAGCGACTATCAATTAGGCTCTAATATCACATGTAAGACATATACTCAACCCAGTCCATAGATCACAGACATGATATTGAATCACGAAATATAAGAACAATGTTGCAATACAAGGATAAGGAGAAAACTATTAGCCTTCTCCTCTTTGACAAAACACAATTGCTCTCCAAATAATAGGTCTTTAAAACGAAATAAGCAAAGACATTACAAGAGCAGTGCCTAATGTTCATATATATACACATCGAATATCTTTCTAACTTATTCTCCTATTAGAATCAATATAGGAGACAATCTTCCAAAAGATATCAACACAAACAAGGACTTCAAACCAAATACAAGGTTAAGTCCCAATCCTGAGACAATTCTCAATACCAGTAATCCCAAATAGAATAGGATTACTCTAAGCTTATCAACAAGACTTTTTCATACACTATAACCGGTTCAATATGTGAAACTCATACTCACACTCTAACATTAACAACATGTTGATTTGGGGTTATCTTTCCCTATCTGGGACAATCTGATGTATTAAACGTGCCTTTAAAAGTACAACCGTTTGAGGAACTCAATTAACAAAATGACTATTTAGTTTCCACTTTGATGGTTGAGTGAGTTCTCTTTTTTTGTTGACTTCAACAATTTTGAGTTGACCCCTTGAAGTAACACCCTTACTCTCGACCTGGAATGCAAGAATGCACAATCTCTTGACATGAATGAATTGTATGCACTGATACCATGAAAATAAATTAGGGGAACTTGACGAGGCTGAGAACATTATATATTGTAGTCAAGGATTTACATTCATTATGTGAAATATATTCTTAGGACTTGGGGTTTGTTTGGTACACATGATTCGATTGGAATGAAGAACTCTCAAATTTTAACTCATACTGAAGGTGGAAGTGAGTGGTTTTTCATTTGGACGGGACTAGAGGATGATTAGCTATGAAGAAAATCCAATCATATGTACCAAACGAGCCCTTAATGTGATCTCTCGTGGATTAATGGAAGTTAGATTTAAACTTGAGATGTAATTTGGGTTTTTCATATACAATGGCAATTATGCATCTTATAGGAAGCAAAAGAACTTGTTTCATACTAGAATTAGTGATAAACTGCCAAGTATATAACAAAATTATACTATTTGGGCAGTTTTATAATTAGAGATAAATGTTCAAAGCATACAAATTTATGGGGAGGGGGGTTAATTGAATGGTTACAAGTCAGGTAGGGTTTTTTCACACTTGACTTGACACCAACTCAGAACCTATAAAAGGATGATAATACAAGCAAGGTAGCAGTTAGTGCTAGCATGATGGAGTGAGTAGCTGATATGTGACTTCTGCTGTTCTTCTGATCAGATTTCGGTGCCTCAGCGGGGCATGCGAGACCTTCTTTCCCTTCGCGGCATTGAGATGCAAACAGACCGGGAGGGTACTTCCCGTAGATGTTTATGTAGCTGAACATGGTTGAAGCACAATCATTTTTCAAGTCATTGATTTCATTGGTAAAAGGACAAGCAAAATCCTTCAAAGCATCACAACAGCTCTTTGCTGGGTAGTTTGGTCCTTTGCACTTGCTTGTAATGATTGTGTAGTTTTGATTCTCAAAGTTCACAGGACAATCTGCAGATAACCCAACAGAATACAAAACAAAAGAATGATGACTGCAACTTATAGAATGCCGATGAGACATGGCATGGATTTTATAATAGTACTAATCCTCATGCGTTGTTAGGTTAAAGAAGGATTATAGTTATGTTTTTAGTGAACCAAGGTTTTAAAATACAAAAAATTGTCAAATTTAAAAAGGAGATAAAAAATGCTTGATAAAATTATTTACGTGAATAGTCAAAAAAATACTAGAGCATTTACAACTTGTTTGTATTAGATATATCTATCATCGCGTAATGTTTAACGTACGATTGTTTAAGACCTTCTCCTAACATAAAATTAGGAATGGGAAATAATCCATGAATACAAGACTTGAAAAATCCCTCACTAGCAATATGGTAAGAGCTAGTTTTCATACTCAAACGCCGATAATCAATGATTTCAGTGAGATTTTCAAGTTTGCAACGACTCCGATACTAAAAGGAAGAGATAGATTCTTATTTAAGATTCCAAATAGAATAGATAATAGGACAACTAAAATTTAGTGAGATTTATTTAATGCAACAATGAAGCTAGTGCCAGTCTATTTGTTCTAATTATATTTTGTCTGATGAATTGTCGTGTGTATTTTGGTTATTAACTAGTTATCTTGACGCGGAGACAAATAATATCACGAATACATACAAAATTGAACGTTTCTTGGTTATGTAATGTTTGTTGAATACAAAAGCATAGTTATTTATACTTATGTTCCAACCCTATCTTCTGCAATAGACAACCACATTTCCGTAACCTATATATTCAACTAAAATTATGCATGAGGTGACAAGAACTAAGAGAATTAGAACATCCAACTCAAAACCAATACGCAATCAGTTACATTGGTTTCTCCGACGTTGGATAATACTCTTGACAAGACAGACGAAAAATATTAGCAAATTCATCAACGGTCATATACAAACGCATTTTTAGCACATTGAATTGATGGGCACGACGAACAAATTAATTGTTTGAAAACTAAAGAAAATATGATAACATAAAATAGGTAATTAAAAGGAGAAATTAAGTGTAATTACTTACTTTTTTGGGCCTGAAGAAGGGCACGTCCTCCAGTGGATGATCCACCTGACTCGAAGATATCATCTGCAACATTTATAAAAAAAAATAATTAGATGAAATTGAATTGAATAAGTAGAAAGGAAATGAAAGAAGAAAAAGAAGAAATGAAAGGGGAATTACAAGAGAGGAAGGTGGTGGAGGAGGCAAAACCCAATACAAGGAAAAAGAAGAAGAAAAAGGGATGAGATGAAAACGCCATTGTAATAATAATTTCAGAGACCGTAGCACCAATGACCTATGTCAAGTGGTCGTCGTCGATCTCCTACCTTTGGCGCCTCTTAGTCTCAAGTCTCAGCCCCACTTTTCCCCCTTGCTTTTTTGGTTGATGGTTTTGGTTCCCTCTATTTCTCTCTCTCTAGGTCTTTCTGTTTGTTTAAGGGAAGAGAGAGAGAGAGAGAGAGAATTGGAGGGAGGAGAGAAAAATGCTGCATGAAATTTGGGGGGGGGGGGCACAAAAGTGGCAACATACACCACTTCTATGGGTTGTTTTTTTTGTTGTGACAGTTTTATTTCCATTAAGGCCATCTCAAACTAGGCCAATCAAGGGATCATAAGCTAAAATATAGCCATTTTGACATAAAATCTTCAATAAAATGCTGGGCTAAAATCCAGCCAAATAGCCACGGGTTGGTCAAAGATAGCCAGTCAGTCAACCCGAAAAGTTGGGCCTAGCTATGCTGTTAGTTGACGTTATGTAGCTTTTTTTTTTTTTTTTTTTTTTAAGACGAAATTTAAAAAAAAAATTAAAATCTATTTTTTTTTCCTATAATTACCTAAGCCATTTCTACACCCCTTCTCACATCTTTTTCACCCTTCAATACTATCTTACTTCATTTTAATGTCTAAGTTGTTAAGATGCAAGCAAAATTAAAATATTTATCAACATGAAACTTAAAACAACATTTAGTGATAAGTGACACTCAAAATATGTCCGGAAATCTTATTTTAATATAGTAGTTTAATTCAATTAACCAATAAAATTAAAGAACAAACTTAAAATAATAAAGGGTAAATTACAAAAAACTACCTCAACTATGGGTCGAAAGACAATCTCATACCTCATATTTGAAAAATGGCAGTGTCATACCTCATCTTACAAATTTGTTTCAATGTCATACTCCGTCAGTTTTCTGTTAAGTTTGACCATCAAGTTATGAGCTGGCAGGTGTGAGAACCATATCCTTACCCAAATAAATTAAAAAAATTAATTAAATACTAATATATATATATCAACAAAAAAAAAAACTAATAAATATAGAAAATCGTTTAAAAAAATTATTAAGAAAATATGGGACCCACCCCCATCCCCCACCTTTCCCCGTCCCCTACCTATTTCCTTCGAAGATCTTCAACCCAAACAGAGGCCCAAGACCTCTCTTCCTCCGACACCCCATCCAAACCCCACCCACTCTTCTTCTGATCCCTGCCAATCCCAAGACTCCAACCACCACTGCTCTCAGCCATCCTCAACCGCATCCCACCTCTGATGCTGACATCATCCACGTCCTCAGCTATTCCAGTTGGTTATCGCCGGACCACATCCACCACTGTGAGGTCCAATTCCTCCCGAGTTCTTCGATTCTCAATCCCCTTCGAAAAACCCTAGCCTCTACAAGTACTACCACAACACCATCGTCGCCGAATCCAAGTTCGTCAACCCTTCTCGGAAGCTTACCTTCACAGAGGCCCGCAAGTCTCTAGTTGGCGACATCGGCTTCGTTTAGAGGGGTTTGATCAATTACATTCCTTCTGCGCTCAACAAACCCCTCAAGTGGGAGGACAACAGCAAGGCCACCGATGCTTCTTCTAATGAAGGTGGTGAATCCCCCACCGGCGATGCCAAGGAAAGCCCCAAGAAGAGGACCTGCAATGGCTGCAAGTCTGTTTGCAGCATTTCCTCAACTATGGAGGTTTCAAATTGCCCTAAGAAGAGGACCTGGAATTGAGGTTTTCTGTTTGAAATTGGCTTGGAGATTTGAAATTTAGGGTTAGGGTTTGGGTTGAAGAAGAAAGGGGGTTCTGAAACAGAAAGAGGGACAAAGGTAAGGGACAAGATGAGTGCGAGTGGGGAGAGGGACAGAAGAGGGATACCGCATCCCAAATGGCTTGTGGGCCCCCACTAGACAAAAAAGGCCCAAAGGGCCAACCGAGCGGTCCAAATGAGCCAGACAACCAGCCCCGAACTGCGCTAGAATTCAAAAAGCAACGGTCAGTTAGTCGTTATATTTGAATTTTTTATTTTTAAAAAAATTTGTTTAATTATAGGCCTAGAAAGTATGTTTGGGTGTTCTTTTTATAGGCTTTAGCCGATGTGGGACTCCCACCCACTTCCTCTTTTTTTTTTTTTTTTTTTTTTTTTTTTCCACACCCAATGTGGGACTCTCCCACCCACTTCCCTTTTTTTTCTACTTCCTCTCCCACAGCCTATGTGAGACTCTCCCACCCACTTCCCCTTTTTATTATTATTATTTTTTTATACTCTAAATAAAACATCTCACATTTGACTTGAAATATATAAGTTGTGTTTTTAAAATTTAAGTTGTTGTAGTTTTTGAATTTAAATAATAAATTATGTTTGGCCCTGTAACTTTTGGTTGGATGTGGTTTTTAGTGACAGGGCTAAAACGGGTCATATGACCCTCGATTGGAGATGGTAAGAAATATGTCCCTGCACTATTTATTAAAATATCAACTTCTTGAAGAACTAGAGGGTTAAAACGAGCCATCAGCCCGCCCTCGGTTAGAGATTAACTTTAAGTTTTGCTGTTGGGCCGCTCAAATATGAGAGAGTATAAAACGGTATTCTCCCTTTCCTACCCCGCGTCATATCATCCAACACTTTCCTTTCATGCCTTACTCAACACACTCCCACATCCGACGTTCATCTCTCTCCAATGTCGATCCACACATTTCTCTCTTCAATGTCGACCATAACTGAATCAATCGCTATATTTTCTTCGGCTCCAACTTCATATTGCCGGACGCTGGTCATGTCACGGTGGGTGCGTTGCCGGAACTCATGGGCTTGAGGGCTGACTGCCTCACAAAAAAATCGCTCGCTTCCTCCATTTTCCAAAAGCCCGGCGTAATCCATCAGCTGCCGCCATTGTTTCCCAAGCTTAGGACACCACTATCGATGGTAAGCGTCCCCCTCCCCCCTCGCGCGCATTTAAGTTTCCTATTAAAAATGTTGAATCTTTTAGTCGTGTTATTTTGGTTTGATGGTGTGTTATGGTGTTTTGGAAGTAATGTAGCACAATAAAAACAAGAAAGAAAATTGAAAGGGATTTTAGGGATTGATATTAGCTTTATGCGCTGTCGTTTTGCTTGATTGGCTGCATCTTTGCGCCATTGCCATTCCTAAGCGCTGCTAAATGGACCTTTGACAACTTTGTGTCATTATTTCTATAGATAGTTCAATTAAGTGGCCCCTATAAAACAGACAAATTATGGGCTGATTATCTGTACCTAAACAAAAATGTCACCCCCATTTCATAAGTTGTAACAATCTGCAATATTATCACCCTTGTTTCGGACCATAAAGTGGAGCAAGTCGTGAACAAATGAAATATCCGATTGTAAGTGTTATTATCTAAAGTTGATTGCGTTTGAAGAAATTTCCGCTTAATAGTATCAATAGTAAAACAAAATTATGTATCGGGCTTTTGATACGAGAGTGTTCTCTTATTATGTTTGATATTATTGTGCAAGTTTCATAATTCCTATCTTTTGACAGATTATGAATGATAAGCTATTTTCAACCCTTGCCAACTTAGGAAGCAAACAGAGTTTGAATACTGATGTATTGTCCCAGTCCTTTTTGTCAAAATTAGTAAATCTAGATAGAGGTGTTTCTATGCATTGGCATTCCTTAATCAACGATAAGTTAATATATATATATATATGTATGTATGTATGTATTATGCATATATCCTTCTGTCTGTAGAGAATGCAGAAACAGATAAGAAAGGTGCATGTAACCATACGTATTTTTTATGTACTATGCAACCCCCAAACATTCCCCGAACCAGAAAAGGTCTATTTCCATCCTCTGAGATTTGTCTCTTTCCTAAGTTGTAATGGAAATTGCGATAACTCTGTTGTAGGACTTCCTCAATGGCTGAGGCAAGGATAACTTGGGCAAGTTGATGCTCAAAGACCAATTCAAGTCCAACATTTGGGTCAGGCAGGCTGTGGGCCAATCCAACTTACCTTCCTTAGGTTTGTGTCAAATAAGAGTTGCGAAGGTTGGAAATGTGGGCAGGCTGGACTAACAACTTTTATACAAAGTGGATGCTCTCATTGTCCATAAGAAAATATGGGTTTGTTGGTAGAAAACCCCGCGGAACTTATGTCTCCCACTTCGCTAAATGTAAGTATTCTTTCTCATTAAATAGTCATGTTTTGGGGTTCCATTTCAATGCTACGTAGCGTTAAATGCTACGAGCATTGAATGGTCTGGATTCATGGGACCATAATAAAAGCAATAACCCAAACCAATCCAGGCCATCAAATGCTCGTAGCATTTAATGCTACATAGCATGGAAAATTTTCCATGTTTTGATGAAGATGTGCATGCACGTTTTATCACTAAGATGACCATGTTAAGATGACGATGGTGTTTGAGATCATTTAGGATCTTAAAGAGATTAATCCCATTCACTATCTAAGAGAGTCTGTAATAGGGATGGTCCGTCATGCAGGTTGGATTAGGAACAAGCAAACCATTAGATTTTGAGGAACCTTAGTCATTGAGAGTTTAAAGTATATTGTCTGCTTCTTAGAACTGCCAATAAATGAAAGTATCGGTAGAGAAACTGGCCCTAAAATACATACTAGTTAGTACAAACCCACACATAGACAAGTGATTATGCTTCCATTTGGCAATTCAGATCTTTCCTTGATGGTTGGTTTAAAGGAAGCATTACATGTAAACTTTTGACATTCAAATCTGTGTATCCTGTCAAATATACCCTGAAGTTATGACTTCTTAGTTTCATCAACCAACTGGCTTAGTACTTGTGTGATTCATGTGTATAATGATATTTAAAAAAAGCTAGCATATATTATGGTAAATTCCTATTTGATAAGATAAATGTGTACCATTTACATGCTGGAAGTTTTTTAAAAATATAATTTCAGTAAATTTTTACATAAAAAATTTAATGTGCAATTGTGCATATATTGATTTAGTGTACATATATTTTGTATGTGCGTTTGTGTAGCAGATGCCTTACATTGCTTTTGCAGTTTTTGGAAGGCATTGTATGCAATCGATTTCTCAATTTATCAACTTTCCAGTGGGTGTTTCTAGATGAAAATTTCTTATAAGTTGTGTTGTCTTTGTCCTACTTAATCGGAAGCTTCTTTTGTCAAACATATTTCCTCATTTAAAATCGATAGCCTCCAATCAATTCCCACAATGCAACCTGACAAAAATATTTTCTACCACTGTGCCAAATGCAATAATTAGCATGTCATCTGGCCTTTATGGTGGTGAAAAGTCATACTTGTTGGGTTTAAAGGACATGAAAGAAGCTGTGTTTGGAATTTAATCTTCGTGATTATTATATACGAGTTTGAAGTCATTTGATCAAGTATTCAAATATATGATGAGTTGTTCTCCATCAAAATTTATCTCATCATTTTTTAACATCTCACATCTCTTACATCACAGTACCACTAAATTCGGAATGGAATTTACCCTTTGAAGTTTTCAGCATCACCTGATCCATCGTAGAAAGTCAGAGGTCTCAAATTAATTTTTATAGGTCTTTAGACTTCAGATGAAGTGTATCAATGTGAGGTTTGTCACACGTGATTTGTTTAAAATTGCAAATTTTTACACTAACATGGTGAATAAATGAAAGAAAGGGTCTCAAATTTATTCATATGTGATTGCAAATGATATTTTGTTCTTATTTGATATAGTGAAATGTGGAAAAAAATTAATACATGTCCTTATATTATTGGCATGGGACGCCATGTGGTGGTGAACCCGTGCCATCAAGTCCTTCTCCCAATCATGGCATTCGGAGTGCCCCAACTATCATGATTTTCATCGTCGGTGAGAGAAGGGACACGATAATTGGTGCTGCACCTAAAATCACATTAACTAGCACCATAGAGAAATTTTTGTAGAGCTGGATACGGAAACCCTTTGCAAGATTTCTGTTTGTAGTATTCTTTTCCTGTTGTTTTTCTTGTGATGGTTACTACTTGATTAGTTTGTCAAATTCAGAAGCTTCTTTTATCTCATTTTTTGTTGATTATATTATGTGTGTTGATCATCTGTGTTAGTATGCATCTCAAACTTCACCAATAATATAGCCTCACAGAAAAATTCTTACCCCACTAAAGTAGTAGAGATTTCATAGGGTCAAGTTCTGCAACTCTGAAAATCTTCCACATAAGACCCTACTATGACCCGGGTCCTGCCTTTATAAGCTGCTTTTTTCATATTTTCTACAAATCTAGAACTTTTTGAACTTGACTTTTCTTTTGAATCTAGAAGCTAAAACTGAACAGAGACCGTTCTTTTGAGTCATTGTTTATACGCACGCTGATGTCTTTGATCTGAAGACTAAGACTGTTTCTCTCGTATATATAGATTCAATTAAACTGAGGACTTGATTCCTATTGGCAGCTGAATTATAAAGAGGAAATGGGGTGGAAGGTACTAGTTGGTTTGTTCTCAAATATAAGAAACAGGAAAGAAAGTCTATATGAATATGGAAACAACACCAATGTATTGGTCTCTGTTCTTTAATTTCATTTATAGCAGCTATTTTGAGAACTATTTATCCTATTGCAGTCATTTTGTTGTTCATTTGAAAGTCTATAAAACTACAAATGTTAATGTCATTTAAATGAACTAAAATCAGGAGTGTTTTCTATGTATGTATGTATGTGCATGTATCCTTCTGTCTGTAGAGAATGCAGAAACAGATAAGAAAGGTGCATGTAACCATACATATTTTTTATGTACTAAGCAACCCCCAAACATTCCCCTAACCAGAAAAGGTCTATTTCCATCCTCTGAGATTTGTCTCTTTCCTAAGTTGTAATGGAAATTGCGATAACTCTGTTGTAGGACTTCCTCAATGGCTGAGGCAAGGATAACTTGGGCAAGTTGATGCTCAAAGACCAATTCAAGTCCAACATTTGGGTCAGGCAGGCTGTGGGCCAATCCAACTTACCTTCCTTAGGTTTGTGTCAAATAAGAGTTGCGAAGGTTGGAAATGTGGGCAGGCTGGACTAACAACTTTTATACAAAGTGGATGCTCTCATTGTCCATGAGAAAATATGGGTTTGTTGGTAGAAAACCCCGTGGAACTTATGTCTCCCACTTCGCTAAATGTAAGTATTCTTTATCATTAAATAGTCATGTTTTGGGGTTCCATTTCAATGCTACGCAGCCTTAAATGCTACGAGCATTGAATGGTCTGGATTCATGGGACCATAATAAAAGCAATAACCCAAACCAATCCAGGCCATCAAATGCTCGTAGCATTTAATGCTACATAGCATGGAAAATTTTCCATGTTTTGATGAAGATGTGCATGAACGTTTTATCACTAAGATGACCATGTTAAGATGAAGATGGTGTTTGAGATCATTTAGGATCTTATAGAGATTAATCCTATTCACTATCCAAGAGAGTCTGTAATAGGGATGGTCCTTCATGCAGGTTGGATTAGGAACAAGCAAACCATTAGATTTTGGGGAACCTTAGTCATTGAGAGTTTAAAGTATATTGTCTGCTTCTTAGAACTGCCAATAAATGAAATTATCGGTAGAGAAACTGGCCCAAAAATACATACTAGTTAGTACAAACCCACACGTAGACAAATGATTATGCTTACATTTGGCAATTCAGATCTTTCCTTGATGGTTGGTTTAAAGGAAGCATTACATGTAAACTTTTGACGTTCAAATCTGTGTATTTCAAATATACCCTGAAGTTATGACTTCTTAGTTTCATCAATCAACTGGCTTAGTACTTGTGTGATGCATGTGTTTAATGATATTTAAAAAAAGCTAGCATATATTATGGTAAATTCCTATTTGATAAGATAAATGTGTACCATTTACATGCTGGATTTTTAAAAAAAAATATAATTTCAGTAAATTTCTACATAAAAAATTTAATGTGCAATTGTGCATACATTGATTTAGTATACATATATTTTGTATGTGCATTTGTGTAGCAGATGCCTAACATTGCTTTCGCAGTTTTTGGAAGGCATTGTATGCAATCGATTTCTCAATTTATCAACTTTCCAGTGGGTGTTTCGAGATGAAAATTTCTTATAAGTTGTGTTGTCTTTGTCCTACTTAATCGGAAGCTTCTTTTGTCAAACATATTTCCTCATTTAAAATCGATAGCCTCCAATCAATTCCCACAATGCAACCTGACAAAAATATTTTCTACCACTGCCAAATGCAATAATTAGCATGTCATCTGGCCTTTATGGTGGTGAAAAGTCATACTTGTTGGGTTTAAAGGACATGAAAGAAGATGCGGTTGGAATTTAATCTTCGTGATTATTATATACGAGTTTGAAGTCATTTGATCAAGTATTCAAATATATGATGAGTTGTTCTCCATCAAAATTTATCTCATCATTTTTTAACATCTCACATCTCTTACATCACAGTACCACTAAATTCGGAATTGAATTTACCCTTTGAAGTTTTCAGCATCACCTGATCCATCGTAGAAAGTCAGAGGTCTCAAATTAATTTTTACAGGTCTTTAGACTTCAGATGAAGTGTATCAATGTGAGGTTTGTCACACGTGATTTGTTTAAAATTGCAAATTTTTACACTAACATGGTGAATAAATGAAAGAAAGGGTCTCAAATTTATTCATATGTGATTGGAAATGATATTTTGTTCTTATTTGATATAGTGAAATGTGGAAAAAAACTAATACATGTCCTTATATTATTGGCATGGGACGCCATGTGGCGGTGAAACCGTGCCATGCAAGTCCTTCTTCCAATCATGGCATTCGGAGTGCCCCAACTATCATGATTTTCATCGTCGGTGAGAGAAGGGACACGATAATTGGTGCTGCACCTAAAATCACATTAACTAGCACCATAGAGAAATTTTTGTAGAGCTGGATACGGAAACCCTTTGCAAGATTTCTGTTTGTAGTATTCTTTTCCTGTTGTTTTTCTTGTGATGGTTACTACTTGATTAGTTTGTCAAATTCAGAAGCTTCTTTTATCTCGTTTTTTGTTGATTATATTATGTGTGTTGATCATCTGTGTTAGTATGCATCTCAAACTTCTCCAATAATATAGCCTCGCAGAAAAATTCTTACCCCACTAAAGTAGTGGAGATTTTATAGGGTCAACTTCTGCAACTCTGAAAATTTTCCACATAAGACCCTACTGTGACCCGGGTCCTGCCTTTATAAGCTGCTTTTTTCATATTTTCTACAAATCTAGAACTTTTGAACTTTGACGTTTCTTTTGAATCTAAAAGCTAAAACTGAACAGAGACCGTTCTTTTGAGTCATTGTTTATACGCACGTTGATGTCTTTGATCCGAAGACTAAGACTGTTTCTCTTGTATATATAGATTCAATCAAACTGAGGACTTGATTCCTATTGGCAGCTGAATTATAAAGAGGAAATGGGGTGGAAGGTACCAGTTGGTTTGTTCTCAAATATAAGAAACAGGAAAGAAAGTCTATATGAATATGGAAACAACACCAATGTATCGGTCTCTGTTATTTAATTTTATTTCTAGCATCTATTTTGAGAACTATTTATCCATTTGCAGTCATTTTGTCGTTCATTTGAAAGTCTATAAAACTACAAATATTAATGTCATTTAAATGAACTAAAATCAGGAGTGTTTTCCATGTATCCCTAACGTAGCGTGCCAGATTCTAATGGAAACATGAGGAACCCTTTCAATTTTTCTATTAGAGTTGGAGACATTGTGTCTGGCACACCAAGCACATTTTGCTAAATAGATTGTGCACAAAACTAGATCGTTCTTTTTATCAAATACTAGCAGGTATGGGTTAGGAAAGGAACATGCATTATTACTTTGTTTTTTCTTTTATTTGTATTTGATCTATTAACTAATCTAATATATACTGTGGGGAGGGGGATTCGAACTTGGGTGTAGAGAGGGAAGCATATTGTTGTAGCTAACTGTGACTATGGCCAAGTCTTCTATTACTTTGTTTGCTTTGAGTATGCCAAAAGTAGTCAAATGAGTCATATGTAAAATTACTAAGGTGCGCCTTTGTGTGATGATTTAGGGAATTCTGCCATGGATTTTACCAGTGGATTGCTATCATAACTGAGAAGCCATAAGCTGCCTCCTTTTGCTGGAAAGAAGAGGACGTTGTGAATAAATCACAGGTAATAACAAGTTCTTCAATTTTTTTTTTCTTTCTCCTCTGGTAATGGGGAGGCATCTCACATATTTGAAAATTTTTTGGGCATACATCACAATCACAGCCAGTCAGCCTTATCTTGAAGGAATTATATAGAGATAATAATAAAAGTAAATCTAACAATGTGGACACGGCATTGATGTGCCGGAATTAATTAATCGATTAATAATCTTTCCTTTATTTGAATTTTTTTATTGAAACCCCATATCTGAATACGTGTAGCTTAAATTGTTGAATGGGAAACCTTGTGACATCTTACCAAGTCCAATGTCAGATGACTAAAATGACGTGCGACCTCTAATAATTCTCTATTGATTTTGTTGATTAGTGCATTTAGCCCATATTACTCTTACGAAAAGAACCACTTGGATGTCTTGTCTGTTGATTCTACATAAACTCTAAACAAAATATGAGTGTTGCTGAAGCTCACTCGTTTAATTGGTGGTTTGTGTTTGCAAACCGAGAAAAACTTGTGTAGGGGCAGCCGGTTCACGTATACTGCCCTACTGCAAATTAGAAAACTTTGTGTAGGGGCATCAGACCGTGTGCAAGTCTCACGAAGCACACAATCACTGTATTTTGGTAATCCCATCCGACCTCACTAGTCTCACCCCCTTAAGAGCCGTCCAAATGCAGCAGCCCTACTGAATATTTTCTGGTAAAATCTGGGGTAGATTGATTACATTACTTGCATTTGTAAGTAGCCACTTGGATGGCACAAAACTACGGGTTAGGTTAAATTTCATGGAAAAGATTAGCACTGCTTACTACTGTTTGAAGCTGCATCCGCTTGTGTATTAGAAAGCCAGCTAACTAGGTAGTAGCACCTTATCTGTTTTTGATATATATATACATATACAATGTGTTGTGTGGGGGAAACAATGACAAGCCATGCAAAACCCAAAACCCAAAACCCAAAGAAAAATTAGTTTAACGTCAAGTTGTGAAGTTGTTGATTGGTCTATTCGATTAACCATTTAGAAAGACTAATGCTAGGTCCTATAGAACAAGCTAACGTAATTTTTGATATTATGATGCAGATTCACAGTACAATAACGTAACATGTGGACCCATTGAGCACCATAACAGGTTAAATCGTTCGACATGATTATTCGGGATGCTGTGAGTTTGAGGAGGAAGGTCCTAACCACCAAAGCATTCCACTACTTGCGATACAAACAGATAGTTGCGTGCAAAAGTTCTTATATTCCGAACGAAAAGATAGAGACAACGTTGTTAACCAACTTTGGAATGAAAGGGAATGAAAGATTTTGCAAATCAAGTGACGCTCTTAATCCTATAATAATCACATGATTATCCATAATTAATTGACTTATAAATTTATAATTCGATTCAAGTACATTCATATAAGCTATGACGTCCCTGGAACTTGGATTGGAGATGTGGCGCTTCATTTTCACCACGCAATGAGCTTATCAGGTCTCACCAATATGTCTTTTTCCAATGAGATTGAGAGATATTTTACATGTTTTAATTACTCTCCACCAAATCCAAAAACTAAAATTCAAACATTTGTTGAAATTAACTTTGAAAACAAAAAGCCACACGGATGGACTCACAAAATGGGAGATAGGAGGCCGGCGCCGGCACCGGCAACGGGCCGGGCCGATGGCTACATTTCACTGTGGTTTTTCCTCTCTTTGTTTACACAACCGAAGCTTTATTTATTTGTTTGAAGAGGACTAGTTGGTGGCAAATTATTTTTCAAAAAAATAAAAATAAGTTGTTAAATTTATAAAACTCAAAATAAAACAAAGAAAAAATTAATAAAGGATCAAAATCAGTATTTAATATTATACCCAACTTTAGTGAAAAATTACTTATTTAGAGATTATAATTTAGTTTCCTAAAAAAGAATCTGAGTTTGTTGCGTTTAATAATGGAGTATGGTAGAAAGGGTATTAACTAATAACTACCGGCCGGTGATGAGTACATTACTGTATTCCTTCACATAATTATATAAATAATCTGCACGTTAAAGAATAATAAAACAATTCCTCGGAGTCAGCCTCAGAGTGCAAGAGAGAGGGAGGAGGAGAGGATATTCAGCTGGGTCGGCGGCATAATTTGGGGCGGGAGTGGTGGTGCCACTGCCACCTCCTTTCCCAAGTCCCTACCTCGTGTAAATCCCTGTATAGTAATAGTATAGGTGCAGAGAATATGTCCCCATTATCATACATTATTCAATGAATCATGATTAAGTTGCTTGAAATCAACTTATGAGTTATGATTAACATGTTAATTAAGTATTAACACTCTGCAGGTTAAAGACACATTTTCAAAGTGAGACTCTCTATGAACTTAATTTCTGCTATCACAGTCTAACATTGCTTCCGTACCAATGGTGCAAAAAAAAAAAAAAAAAAACATAAGGTAACAAAGAGTTCATAAAAAATCTTACTTTTGAAGGAATCTCTTTAGCATTTCTCTCCTATATATAGAGTCAGTGAATCATGTGAGAATCAGTTTATTAAATAATTTGAGATTTAAATGACAATGTTATGTGTTGCATGTTATGGCTGCAGCAATCCGGAATTATTGCTTCCAATTGTCGTTTCGTCCGTCCTTGGAGAAATAAATCATATATTACTATTTACATTATGCATTGAATACAAAATTAATAACCATATATCTAGTTATCCTATCTTTTTCATAGAATTGCGGTCTGGTATTTTTTTTTTTTTTACTCATATGTAAAAGGTCTTGCGTACAACTTGCATCAAGGTTAACGTATTATATTTAGATTGAGTTTGAATCAAATCAGGAAGAAATAACATGTAAATTTTTCAGTTAGCATTTCGTAGAACAATCGGTGGGTTATAGTCACCTATAGAGTCTTATTGCACAGTTGTCAACAAACGTCGATAACTTTTGAAAAAGTATGTCGACATCTCTCTGAAAAGGTATTTCAACAGCAGCTTACGGATAGGAGCTGCCGGGTCTCGATTAGGAATTTTGTAAAACAACTTATATACACAACTTCGTTACGAATAAGATAACATTTGAAAAAAAAAAAAAAAAAGATAGAATAATAATAAGGTACATTTATGAGCAAGGCAAATGAAGGAGAGAAGAGAGACATGGTATGCAGTTTGATAAAACTTCATGCATGAATGATGGTCTTGGAAACACGACGAGTTTGCATTGCAATCGCAACAAATTATGGGATAATCCGGTTAATTAAGGGAAAATTATAAATAAATGGAATTTCATTCCTCTGGATTATGCATATTTTAATTAGCTTGAACAATGGCTAGAGAGTTGCAACTTTTTCAAGTCAAACAAGTCAAATCAAGTTGCTCGTGCTAATGCTCTAACAAAACAACGAATATGAATTAGATTGTCTGACGATTCTGAACTCAACTTAGATACCACTTTAGCGGTGAATATGTTGAAAATAAATCTCACATTGATAAAATGATGGATTTTGTATATGCATATAAGTAATTGGTTTACTCTTTATATTATCATTTGATTTTATGGTGGAATCTCAACTTTCTTTATGATTTCAGAGTGTGTTGTCACTCATGTGAAACCTAACGATCATACGTACTTGATGTCGCCCGAGTTGATGATCATACGTACTTCATGTCACCCGAGTTGTGTTATCCATATATTAAGCTTGAAAATTTATCACACATAAAGAGACGTGTTGAGAATGAATCTCACATTGATAAGATGATAGACTTTGCATATGCTTACAAGTACTTGAACTATTCCTTATATTACCAATTAGTTTTATAATAAAATCTCAATTTTTTTTTTTAAATATGCCAACCATTAGAACATACAACAAGCCTAATTGGCAATTAAGATGTTCTTTCCGTCAATGTGAGCTCTTGAATAAGATGAGCACGTTGTTCCTAAAATATATTCAGTCGGCAATGCCGGATCACTAATGCCGACACCATCCATTCGGCACTGCCGGATTCGGATTAATAACCCCGAGTTCAGTTGAACAAAACTTACCCGCAATTTTGTTTAGGATGATTTTGGATGGATGTATTTGTCGTTGGGGTTGGTGCTGTTGCAAACAGGTGGGCCCTCGTCAATGCTTTTAGGACCACCACCAGTGTCATGTCCACATGTATTCTTCTAGACTTTCAACTCCAACACACAAAAAGTAAGAAATGAGGAGACATTTTTATTTCTGTCTTCCAGAAGGTATTCAAGATTCTCGGCTGATCTGTTGGCACGTGAAACTGACCTCCACTTCTGGAATTGAGGAGCAAAAATTTGTTTCCGGTTGGTTCTAATTAAAGTGATTGTCAATAAATGGTCTGCTCGATCATTAACTTTTGCGTGGTCCCATCTTCTAGAGAGTCTATTTTATTGAAGCAATTTTTCAAATTTGTTTCGTAGTCCCTTTTACTTGGCTAATGTTTCCTTCTACTCCATTTTTTTATTTTTATTTTTTTAACAATAAGCGGCATAGTGAATTTGTAACACATCCGATCCCAGTCTACATTCCCCTATCTTATTTGTTGTCTTCTCAATACACTTATCTTTACACAGTTCGACACCTTTCATCGAATTGAATTTAGATTGAGATCATTTTTTGTGACGATTTGGCTAATTGGCAACGACTTCTAGGACATCACCATTAGCATTTACGCGATCAAAATTCTCACAACCTTAATCTTAGAGGGCTTGTTTGGTGTTTCATTGGTGATTTGGTGACTTAAAGAACGAAGAGGTCCACCTTGAAATAATGAGGTTATAACCGAGTTGCGTCTATTCTTGGTTGAAAATTATTTCCAAACCACCTCTTCGACATTGGTTAAGCCTTGTGCATTTGAGAATTTATGGAAATGATATCTCTACGAAGTAGTTCTTACTATAAGAAAAAATATTATATTGTGCAAAAAAATATTTAAACAATTTTTTTAATTAATTATCAAACCTACATCAGTACAAAACAAATTTTTTTTTATAGAATTGTAGTGGAAGAATCTTATTGATTTGAGACACCTATTTTCAAGGATTACATTCATCGATTTTCAATTTTAGGGACCATTTTGATGGTGTAGGTTAATTTCAAGGACCATCTTAATGGTGTAAGTTAATTTCAATGACCATTTGTGATAAAAACCTGTAAATCTTGTGGGACCCATTTATGTGCTAATCAGCAATTAACATAATTTTTAACAGAATTGTAACGGAATGACCACATTGATTTGCAACACCTATTTTTAGAGACTACATTGATTGATTTTTATTTTCATGGATCATCTTGATGGTGAGGATAAATTTTAAGGACTATTTGTGATCAAAACTCTTATCTAATTGAATTAAAGTTGAGAGATCATTGCTACAATTTATTTCATTTGTAATACAAATTCGGAAAAGGATCCAGCGATGATCATTTTCCTGGAGATCTCGTGATTGTGTCCGTTCATCGTACATCATGCAGTTAGAAATATTTTAAATTTAAAATTTAAAATTCAATATAAATAATACTTAACAAAAACTGACCGTACGATATATAATGAACGAACACGATCATTGAATCTTCCGAATTCTAAGAAAAAGGATCCAGCGAGGATCATTTTCCTACAAATCCAAAAGAGTCGCTTGTCACGGATCTTTAATTGCCGGATGACCAAGAGACCCATGGACTTTAGCAAACACTGGTGTCGATGCGGTCAATTTGGATCCTCTCTTGAACTAGAGGATCCTCTTGACCAATCATCGTGGGCCGCTGAATTTTTATCCAACGGCTATAAATAGGGAGTTCCTTTAAAGTTATAATGATTGTAATCGTTAGATAAAAATCTAACGGTCCACGATGATTGGTCAGGAGAATTCTCTCTATTAGCTCAGGAAATGATCCAAATCCGTAAGTGACTAGTTGCAGACATGACACATGGTCGTATAAGTCCATCCTACACTATAGCATGGCACCCATTTCCACTTAAATGTAGTGCTTCTTTCTTGGTGATTTCTATTCCCCAGCCACTACCCCAAATTCCAATATTATATATGTCTAAATCATCTAGAAGGGCCAATCACATCTTCACGGATTCCTGTTACCTGTCGTGTACTTGTATTGGTCTCTGATGTCGGTTGTACTCTGCTGCTACGTGTGGCTGTGCTTATCCTGCGCAGTGGCTCCCACGCCACTCCATCTGCCACGTGACCACCTCCACGTCCACACCCTCTCTTTTTTTATTTTTTTATTTTTTTTGTCGAAAAAGAATCATCTTCATCGTTTCATCCTAATTCACTAAATCAAATCATTCATGATATTAAAATTT